CAATTTGGGGGGAAATGTGCGGAATTGGGGGGGAAAAAAACCTATATGATCCAAAAATAAAGTTTATTTCTTTCTGAAAAACATAATTTCACAGAAACACACACATATAAATATAAATATTACCTGGACATGATTTAATGAGATTCACATCTTAAAGGCTCATTTTCTTGTGGCAATTCAGTGACACTAATATCGCAACAATAAAAGGGTTTGTATGAAAATCTGAACTCACAACACATCCTGACTGTTCACGGCACTGACATATTCACCCCAAACAAACAAGTGCAAAACCAAGGGGTGACAATAACAGTAAATCTGATAATGCGCAGCCAACTAATGGAGGTTCAAAGCGAGGGAATGGTAGAATGGAAGGATAGATCGTGCCATCTGCACCTCTCCACGGCACAACACACTCTGTCTACAGCAGCAACAGGAAATATCTGCAAAGTTCAGCCATGGGTCAGTGTAGTCATCGCTCCTCCCCTCCGCTCTCCCTCCACCCCACACACACACACACATCCACCTGAGCGGCCTTTGAGGGGTCATGAGGATTAGCGACGGGGCGGGGGCAGGGGAAAAGGGACACAACTACCATATAATTCAAACAATTAAGGAAACATTTAGTTAATGGTGCAGTGTGTGTTAAGTGTGCGACCGACCTTTTCCTGAACCCATTTACGAACTTCTGTTTTGGTGTGCGTGGATGAGTGTCACACGGATGTCCAATAGCCCGCAGAGAGCTATACACTTTTGCCACATATTGTTAGTCTTATGTAACCGTGAGGCATACATCTTCCACCTCAGATAATGAGTTGATGGGAGTTAACCGAAACTGTTGTCAGTTTGCTGAACACTCCTTGCTGATATGCCAGCAAAGCTTCCAACAATCACTAATGTCTCTCTTGTGTGATATTAGTAATCGTGGAGTGGTTTAGTGTGCCATTGGCATTCCAGTGCAGATCTGCTAGGGGTTATGATTATGACTAAACCGGGACACACGCTTCCTTAGATGATGCTGACTCTTATCTCTATAGAGCAGCAATGTATGATTCCATTGCAGAACACGAAGAGCCAGCAGGGGCTGCCTGACCTCTCTCTAATCATGAAGTCAAATCCTGGTCAAACCCTGAGGGACAGCCGTGACGGAGGAGGCCGGCCTGCCTCCATACATGTGTTTGGAGCCGTGATTAAGCATTCCAAGAATGTGGTATGAAAATAAGCAGCTTTGATTGAAAACAAACAAACAAACAAGATATTATTCACATAATCTGACTCAGGCTCAGCCAGGACGTTCGGTCACATGGAATACATTCATGTGTCTTTAATGGTGTTTGCTGTCAAGAAGGTTTGAATATAAGTGCTGCAGGGATGACATGTTTTTGTAGGCCAAAACCTGGAAACGAGTTTCCATCATCTGGGTTTGGTTAAATGCCTAAAATAAGGTCTGTTTTTAACACAAGCTCAATATATTTTCACATTTTATTTAACAACATAAAGTACATCAATTTACACACCCTTGGAATTTTCAAAGATTTTACTTGTTCTGAAAAAAGGCGGTTGCTAACAAGTAGCTAAATGGGACTATGGAGGTTTTCTGGGACATTTAAACGGCATCATGTTGAACAGGTAAACTCATCTACTCATAGTCCACTTTTACAGCCTCATTGTGCTCATAATCACTCTTTGCAAACTATTCTAACTCCAACTTTCAGGGAAAATGTTTTTAAATAAAGACTGAAAGAGTTGTTGGAAGCGTAATGATGGTGACTTTTAAGTCACGCGACAGTGGTGTAGTCTGCAAACATTTAGCTTTTTAATTCGTTTGTGTTTAGGCTTCAACATTTACAAAAGCACAAACTTCATTACGGATTACCATGAACGAAATCTGTTAATCAGTTAAAATCTCCCTCATCATCAAAAATCCATCTTCATACGGCATATTTGAACATTCAAAAACATCAATGAGATTTGAAAGCGGCAAAAGCTTCAGAAACTCACCTTTTGTGTTCCACAGACAGAGGAAAGCAAGTCATATTTACATTAGAACGACTTCAGGTGAGTAAATGATGACCGAACTTACATTGTTGAGGTCTAAGGAGTCGTCTGAGGCCCATTAAAGCCATACTGTTGCGCCCCCTAGCGGACATCCAATATAGTGTAAATCTCTCAGTTAAAAAAAAAGAATGTGATGGACAAAATCTGACATCTGTAGAGCCATAGGCGGAGGGTGAACCAACTCCAGGGTAAGGCTAAAAGCAGCCAAATCTATTAAATACAAACATCATGTCTTTTTAGGCAAGAACCAGACATGGGTGTCATGTAGGCTAATAAAATATGTTTAATGGGACTGAATTTGTATTTAAGGTGATTACAATTTGATTAAAACATTAGAAATTGATAATTATATAACCTAACGTTTCCTTTCCACGGTTATTCAAACGGCGAATAAATTACATAGCATACAGAAAGTGACATTATCACTAACTTTGATCTATCGCGAGTTTAAGCACTCTCAAAAAAAACTATCGTTATAATCACTGAAGCTGTCTACACTGCGAAATGAATCTTTTACTTACATTGTACGTACATCTGCGTTTTGCTGTTTATGATGAGAGGATTCGCAAGAGTCCGGATTTCAGTCAGCGAACGCGAGCGCACTCAACAAAGCTGATGAGTTTCAACGATGACTCATCTGAACGCCTCTGATTGGCCATTGCATTCCTAAACTCAACAGAATCGTGTGGGATTGGTTATAATGCGCAAAACTGTAAAAACGCCTAAATGAAATACGGTGCAACATGAGCCGCAATCGACACTTTCTATTCATTTTCATTTTGTTAGCAACAGACGCAATAGATTTAATTTTGAGCAGGAGCATTTTTGTCCAATTTAGTGGCATTTTTGCCATAAGACCCTGGCCAGCCTTACACACGCTCCGCCTATGTGTAGAACCACTGTAAATCGAGCGGCAACCTCCCGATCTCTCTCGTGAAGCCAACAAGGAAGTGACTTAAACTGTAATTCGTCAACTGGCCGCTAGAGGCTGGCTGCAAAAGGGAGTCAATCCCATAGACTCCCCATGTTAAAATGCCCAACTTTACAGCAGAAAAAAAACATGTTTACAGCCTGGTTCAAAAAATTATTTTGGTCTATATAGCTAATTTTGCCCTTCATGACAACTGAGGGGGGCGAATTTTTTTATAACTCATCCGTTTAAATTATATTAAGCCTTAAAGTTCTGCATAATTAAGGGCGTGGCCACTTGAGTGACAGGTGGATTGCCGCTGCTGTCATCACCGTCGAGCTAGGTGGGCGTGGTTTCAGCAGCCAGCTCCCGCCTTTTTGCCCATTTTCGATTATCCGGGAGTGACGCGCGGTGACGCCCTGCCAAGATGGCGACGGCTGGCTCCGCCTACTTTAGGCTTCAAAACGCTCGTCGGAAGTCTACGGGTTACGTCACGGACACTACGTCCATGTTTTTATACAGTCTATGCTGTAAACTGATGAAAAGTATGGCTCTCAAAAAATGAGCCGCAAGGTCCAAATGTGCCAAATGACTGTATTAAATGTGTTCCTGGAGCTCTTGACTGCTCTTTAACGGTAGTTAGCCATAATGAATTTTTCTTGCTTGCTTGGTAACAGAGTTGAATGGTTAATGAATGTGGTCAAAATGGAATTCGAGCATAATTAAATCCAAATGATGTCACTTCCTATGTGTAGCATTTTTATTTATTCATTTAAACTAAGAAAATCATACAGGGTCATCATATAAGTCATACATTTTGCTAATTAAAATTAGTTAATAATTAGTGGAGTAAAATGAATATAAATTCAATAGATTGTTAAAATTATGATATTGTTGAATGATTTAATTGTTGGACAGAATAGAGACAATCAAGAAAGCGAAGTCAAAATCGTCAAAGTTTAAATAAGTCAAAGTTGAAAACGTCCTACTTTTCATGCTGTTTTAGACAATAGTGTATGTGGCATATCTAATAATTTTCTCTACAAAAATACATTTTGGTGCCTAATGCTTTGAAAAAGCACTAATTGGATTGGATGCTATTTGTGGAAAGATTTACACATACCTTAAAGTTTGTCCTCTAGTGGACGATGCGCGTAATAACATCCTACAGATCTTGTAGGTAAGCAAGATCAAGCCTCAACATTGTTTTAAGTTTACCCTTTGCAATCTGATTACGGTGTTGTATTTATTAAACTAAATCGGAGTCGGAATTCTAAGGAACTTTAAACATTAAATACACGAGTGCTCCTGGATGAAAGAAACGTTAGAAGATAAGATGACGAAGCTGTGCCATTCTACTTTAATGATGTGTGTCTGATGGGAGTTTCAGACATCTTCACTCCTTCTGCTCTCACTCGGAGTGAAGCCCAAAGCTCAGATTCTGCTTTGGATCTCAAAACGCTTCATTAATAGTCGTGAGAGCTTGACTGTTTCCACAAGAACAGCTCAACATCTGTCCTAAACTAGTGCCTGTGGTGTTTGAGGATATAAGAGTCAAATGTCTCCACGCACCTACTTTATTGTTAATAATGCAATGTAGAATAATAAAAGTCATCAACCAGCATTATCTAAAGCAACTTCAAGAGTATACATGTATGCTGGACATTTAAGATCATGAGAAACAAATTGTCCAGACTTTTGACTGGAACTATAATTGCTCCAAAATCAGATCAACATCACCTACTACATATATTAAGTATGTTGAATGATCATTTTACATTTTAAATATTTTTTTGACTTTGCCCATTGGTATTGCATAATTATAGGTACATACCATGTCCTTGAACCCTTTTCAAGATTAATATTTTTTTTTTAAATGTATGCATGTATTGATGGCACATGGTAAAAATGGTACATGCTGTAATTATAGAAGAAATTGCTCAAACGTTTTGAAAGTTTAGCATACCGCAACTGCCAAACAGCAGAATAAATAATATTTGGTTATATAATAAAGTATAAAACAATAACAAATAAATGCATTACAATATTCTGGCTTTATTCATATTATTGCATTCATTTTGAATGACACAGCCACACGATAGAACAGAATTACCTGCACACACAACAGAGATTAGTGTGGCCTTTCTCCCAGTTAAAGAACATTCTGCATGAAGACCAGAAGTGAAGGATTTCAATCGAGGATTTAAAGAATGTGCAAAAGGGGTTTTCTTTAATCCAACGTAACATCAATAATAAAGAAAACAACAGATGACTTTTTTTTTAACATTTGAAAATTGTATTAAAAACATTAACGCAATACTGCCTTTTGTTCTCTTTGGTATTTTCTCTATTACTGATAAGAGAAACTTTTGGTCTGATGCTGGCAAATCACTTACAAGTTTTTAAGAATCTGAATTTTTACCTAACCTACAATTGTAAAAACTACTCAAAACATCATCTAAAAGGCAGCAAAAGTATGAAAACAGAAATATAAAACCCCCATCCACAGAGGACATGTCTAAATACAAATACTGGAGCTAAAGACATCTGAATGTCAAATTCAGACCAATAAAGCCACCCGTTACAAATACACCCATCAGTCAAACCCCATACGTTTCATATACTACTCTAACTCATGATACTCACTGTATGTACACACTTGCTGGTAGAAGTAATAAATAGATCCGCTGGTATATCCATGAAAAAGTAAAAAAAAAAAAAAAAAGTCCACAACCCTTATGGAAAGAGAAGAATATGAACACACTGGTTGTCTGATAAAGTGGACACATCTTCCCACACATCAGTAGTCAGCTCAGTTATCCACGCTGGAGTAAGTCATGGCATTGAGTGCTGGTCTTTTCTTCCCTTTGATCTTCAGAGATCCATAGCGTGCCTGTGACCAATGAATGACAAGCATTGGTTACCATGATTAAACTCACGCACAGGACAAATCAAGAGGGAAGCCATAATCAATAAGGTAATATGATTTGATTAAGGACTGCAACAACTAAATTATAAAAATGGCACAGCAAACTTCCATCAGTGATGTCACTTTACAGTAGTGAAACAATGCTTCTGAATAATGTGGGTTCCTACAATGCATATATTACTGTTATATTCCTACCTGTAAATGTTAGAAATTCAAATTCATGTGAATATATAAATTAAGAGTAAGCGAGTTGCTACTAAACTTCAAATGCTTCTTTCAGCAAAATGCAACAGATAAAAAAAGGTGTAATAACAGAAAAAAAAAAAAAAAATTCAATTGATCAAATAGTCAAGATTCCACGTTAAATTAATAGTTCACCCAAAAATGAAAATTTTAGGGATGCACCGAAATGAAAATTCTTGGCCGAAGCTGAAACCGAACATGGTTTTTCAAGGTTTTTTCCCCCATGTATTTTACCAGTTTTTTGCACCATTGCATAAATGAAATAGCCAAAATGTGCTTTTTACTGCTTTGTCTAGCTTTTCAAAGAATAATTTTTTTTTTTTTTTTTAAATATTTAACACTGAACATTTTTTTTAGCATTCTTGCAGACATTATACCAACAAAGCACAATTTAACTTAAAATTAATAAGTTAGTAAAATAATATTTTTTGGCCATCAGACCCCCTTCTTGAATCAGGCATGTATTTTTTACTGTACAAATAAAAGCAGCCTTGCTAAGCAGAAGAGCCTTCTTTTAAAACATTAGAAAATATTACAGATCATAATTTGAACACTACGTGTGAATGTTATAATAAATGTATTAACACAGCTGTTGTAATTACTATTACTATTATTGTTATTATTGTCTTACTTTTTATTTTATTTTAAAGAACAACGATATTTATTCAAAGGAGGCGTATGCGTGTATCTTTACAGAAGCAGCACAGAGAGCCTCTTCAGAAATGTGCGTGACGCGGCTGGAATAAACACAAGCATTGACTAACGTTAAGAGTGGCCGCAATCAGCTTCAGTGGCCGTATCACAGCCACACTGCACCGGAGACGTGTGCAGTGTAAATTGTCTAAGCATTAATGGTAGGAAAGCCTGGAGCGCGGCCACTTATGAAGTGTTTCTTGGAGGTTATAGTACATTGAAGAATGATCATATGACTTTTTACATACGCTATGTGACCTATAAATGCAAAAAAAAATAACCTTTCCATTGCAGTTTTGCGAATTATTCCTTTTTCGCATTGCCTGAAAAACCACCTCATGTGAGCGTAAAAACTTTTTTGCGATATATGGGCGCTTTTGCAAAATTGAAGCGTTTCCATTAGGCGTATTTTCAATTCGCACAATTTGAAGGGGTAATGGAAACACGCCTACTGTTTCAGCGCAGATTTTCCTGGCGCTTTGGACTTCGAACCCTGGTTAACAAGCAGATCCGCCGCGAGTTTGTGCAGCGCTGTCAGAATAGGCTACATGCAATTCGTACGTGTATTAGAAAACATAACATTCTGCAGTTTATTTACTATTTGTTTAAGGCCATTTCGCGATTTCAGTCATCATACAGTAACCAGCAACAATCACCCCTTCCTCTTCTCATCGAAGACATGCAATGCAGTACTAAACAGTCTCTCGCTGTCGGTGCTTGTAATGATTTTTGCATCTTTCTCGGACAGTTTTAAATGTTTCCACACTGCTGACATGTTTGTTGCATTATAAAGAGTGCGCGCCTCTTACTCTACGCTGGTTGCTATTTGATCGCGTCACATCATTGTTCGGTACAATTTATTCAGTCTTTTTGCTATTTTCGCCAGAATAATTTCGGTTGCCAAACATTCGGTGCATCCCTAGAAAATTTGCTGATAATTTATTTACCAACACTCAGGCCATCCAAGTTGTAGATGAGTTTGTTTCTTCATCAGAACAGATTTAGAGGAATTTAGCATTACTCTCGGAGGTTATAGTACATTGAAGAATGATCATATGACTTTTTACATACGCTATGTGACCTATAAATGCAAAAAAAAATAACCTTTCCATTGCAGTTTTGCGAATTATTCCTTTTTCGCATTGCCTGAAAAACCACCGGGTGCCGTCAGAATGAGAGTCCAAACAGCTGATAAAAACACCAACAAGTAATCCACATGACTACAGTCCATTAATTAATATCTTGTGAAGCGAAAAGCAGCGTGTCTGCAAGAAACAAAACCATCATTAAGGCATTTTAACTTAAAACTTTCACTTCTGACCAAAATAAAGTCCATAGTCCATAATAATGCTTCCTCCAATTATGGAAGAGGAAGAGATTTTAGCCGGAAGCAATAGTTTGAACTTAAAAACATATTAATGATGTATTTGTTTTTTACAACCATGCAGCTTTTTGCTTCACAAGACGTTAATTGGTGGACTGGAATTGTTTGGATTACTTGCAGATTATTGTGATGTTTTTATCAGCTGTTTGGACTCTCATTCTGATGGCACCCATTCACTGCAGAGAATCCATTGGTGAGCGATGAAATGGTAAATTTCTCCAAATCTGTTCTGATGAAGAAACAAACTCATCTACATCTTGGATGGCTCTAGGGTGAGTAAATTTTCAGCAAATTTTGGGGTGAGCTATTCCTTTAAATGAAGGTTTTAGATTAACTGAAATGCTACATGTAGCACAATATTTTGTGATTATATAATGACATTTGTATTTATTATAATGACAATTATTGTCCTTTACATTTACAGAAAAATTATAGTAATGAGTTGCTATTTTCAAAGAAGAAAGTACGTTTGTATTTTTATATCCATTTTCTATTTATAAAACAATGATTAAATCCTGCTGCATTCAAACATTTGCATTTTTAATCAAATATAGCAAATAAAAAGTGGCTTTTTACAAGTGTAATGTAATGTTTATTTAGTTACTGAGTCTTGGAAGAACAAAATAGGGATGTGCTATCAGGTTTTGTTGGACTTACATCTCTGCGCAGTTTTGAGCGGGTGATTTTGACGCTCTGAGATCGTCTGAGCCCATGATGAGACACGGCTTCATCTTCAGAGTACACAGGTTTACCCTCGTCATCACTCCTGTCATCGTCATCACCATGATAATACTCTACAAAACAAGTTGAGAGTTAAGAAAACAAGATGAACACACAGATCAGCGCTTGATCAGATAGAACAGCAGGCATGATCGAGATCACTGCTCCTCAAACAGCTTTTGTCTTAAGGCCCAGATTTGACATTGGCGACCCAGTAACAAAGAATCAAAATTGTCTACTGTACAAAAAATACATCCTACATTGACAAAGAGCAGAAAACATTTACAGATTTATTCAATAATATTAAAATACATTAATAATAAAGAATAGGCCCAATAATATGGGGAAAAAATTAAGATGATATTATGCTAGATAGGAAACTTTTGTAAGCACGTGACATTTTTGACAAACAGGTGACACATGAATCTGTGCCAAAATACAGCAGAATTTGACTGGATGTCAACAAGATTATTTGTTTATTATTTGTGTATTATTCTGCATTTAGCATTGTTTTTACTGTCCATTTCTCTATCTGAACAGACTTATTTTTGGGTCGCAACTGACCAGTTCCATTTTTTTGTGAAGGGTGGGAATGTGATTTCAGCCGTGGAGAAAGGACAAGCGGGGGAAGAGAGAAAGAGAGAGAGCAGCTGCCGGGTTCAGGCCGCTCCTGGCACCATCACCTCTGGGCTCCCCGGGTAGAGCTGGGAGCTAGGCAGAGTCAACCTGTGCCAGGACGCCTAACGGCAATCCAGCCAGAGCAGATTCACTGCACACTCCATCACCCAAAGGACAGGTTATAACAAGACCATACTGCACTGCACAGAACTGAAGGTTTAATTTAGCATGTCAGTTCTCCATTCCGCCATAAGGGGGCAGAAGAAATACATAAACCGATGATGCTGAAAAGCCTTCCTTTGTTTGTTCCCACGCCCACTGCTGTTTTCAATTACTGAAATATAACAACTTTCTTGGGATTTAGAAAAGTATGCGATTAATTTTCCAGAACTATTCTAGTTCTGTTAAGACCTTGTGCAAGCTAAGCAGAAAGAGCTTTGAAAGAGGACAAATATAAAGATCTAGCAGACAGGTCTTTGTCCAAACACATAACCAGGAGAGATATAACTTCTCACAAACACACACACACACACATATACATATATATACATACATATATACATATATATATATATATATATATGTACATACAAGCCCTTTATACTTTTAATTAAACATATCATGTATTTGCCTTGCTACAATGATTGTTTGGTTCAAATTATGGTTTTAAGTAATTTCCTATATTAGAGTAAAATAGAGTAATTTAGGTAATGCTACATTGCCTATAAAAGAGTAGAAATGAATTAAGATAATTAAGGCATGTTTTCTAACCTGTTTTTCACTAAAGTGCCAAATGCAATCATTATTAATAAAAACCAATACGACAAAATATAACTAACAGAAATGCTTACCTGCATATATTTGAAAAAACTAATGACACGCTCTCTAGGAAGCTTAATGGGCAAATAATAAGCACATTAAAATCACTGCGTAATTCACAATTGCCAGCGAAACCATTGTGAACATATGCATTCACATTGCACAGCTCTACTCTCTAATATCAGAAGACCCTAATACTTGTGTGAATATGATAGACAGGACAGCCTAAAAATATATACAGGCATGTTTTATGTTATGCCTGTCATTCAAAGCTGATCTCTGCTCCTTTTAGAAAAAGCAAAACCCAACATTGAAGCATGAGCGAATAAATAACACACTTCCTCTCTCTTTATAGGCTACCTCCCATTTTTAAATTCAAACTGCAATTAGCAGCTCGTTTGATCAGTCGAGAACTTTCACCTTGGCTTTGAGCCTCTGAAAGGGAATGCCATTTTGGAGGAGCTGGCTTTCTGATGGCTTCATTGCAGACGAGATGAAAATGACCTGGATGCCAGCGGAATTTCAAACGCGGCGGACGCATTAGCATACAGAGATAGAAGCACATTAGGTATTCCGCTCAGAGCCTCCCCGAGCTGCTTTTTCCTCTTCTTCATCTTCTCACAAAGCAGCACTAGACCTTTCATGCTAGGAACGTGCCGCTATTACTTATTACTCTCCCATGCTTGAGACAAATACCCAATCCATTCCATTTGCTCCAAAACCAGTTAACACGGCAGTGATTTCCAGAAGCATGTGAGATTTAGTTGAGATATCATTATGAAAGCTGGATGGCTTTATTTGCGCTACTGAACATCTTTACAGACACTTTCCCACTAGATGCGTCACACAAAGGCTGTAAAATGCTGCCTTCGCAGGCGTCATCAAAGCACGTCTGAATTCAATGTTTGTGTATTATCCTGTCTACTATGATGGTTTATGAAGACAGCGTGTGCCTATGATAATGCATTGGAAGCTCTTTTGAAACCAAGTAGCTTCTGTCTGTTAAGGCAAGAGTAAGGCATCTGCCTTCTGTTGTGGACACAGCTGAGAAACACCAGTGTGAAAGGAAACAAAGGATGGTGTGTTAATAATTAATCTGAGAGGTAAGACATACCAGCTCCGTCGGGCTGGTCCATGATGGCTCTTCTGGCTGGGTTGGAGCTGTATGATGAATACGCGTCGTCATGAGGGATCTGGGTAAGGTCGTGCATGCTGAAGCTCCTAAGCTTCTCTGTGATGGCACCTTGACCCTGTAGAGAAAAAACAGCCCCCAGTTAGGATAAACACATCAGCGCTGACAACACACAGAACAGCTTTAACTGAGCATTACAAGACTGCATGGACATCCATGATGACATCATTATGACATGCATGTATGTATGAATGAATGCTGATAAGATTTGGGATCAGTTCCAAGTGACCCGCTACCTAGTGAGCTGCCCTGTTGTCAACTGAACAAACAGCACAGATTGATTTCTGTGGGAGATGTGCTAATACATCACTAGATTATCAATACGGACAATGGTTGGTTGGTGTATTTTTTAAACACCATGCCAGCTTCCTTGGTTATTTTCATGGCAAATGACAACTATTTAATAAAATATATTTAAAAAAAAAAAAAGGACTCTGGCATGAAGAGCATATCAGTGGATCTTCATTTGATATTAGGAATTTAGGTGTGATTCTGGAACGTCATATTCGGCATTGTGTATATATGATCTGATCCCAGTGATTACTGATAATAATATGCGACTTTTACCCACAGTAGGTTTGATTTCATACTTGTACACTCATTCATTTTGCATTTTGTTGATGACGGAAGATACTATGGTAGATTCAAGATCTGAGAGTGGTAACACCTTACAAAATCTACTGAAAGTCCTTTTTTAGCACCAGCCTCTGCTTGTTAATTTCCTCGAATATATGGACAATGCATCGTTTTTGCTAGCGAAATTGGAAAAAATAAGTGCTAAAGTGACCACACGTTTAGAAGGAAGCATAAATATGCTAGAATATAATTCTGCCTTAAAATGTTGCTTACATATGCAGCGCACTTGGTTTTTGGAACTGAGCTTAACTGAACAAAGAACAGGAGATAAAAAATAAAAACATTTGGATAGGCACATGTTAGACCTCATAACATCAATGTTTTAAAATGATGTAATAATACTATTAGTGCTTAACACTATGTCAGAGTCGGCACAAATGTAGAAAAACAATGAAAAAATGGAAAAAGGAAAGCATGAGCTAAAAGCTGTTAAAATGATGTTGCTTTTCCACATGCTGTAGACACTCTATAGCATTACCTGCACTGAAGAGAGCAGGGCTGCAGTATTCCTATAGGGCAGTATATGTCAAAAACAAAACAAAACAAAACAACATGCCAGAAATAGAGTAAAAGCAAGGAAGAAGAGCTATGATGGGGAAAATTTGGCAGCGTTCAAGAATAAAGATTGACAAGCCTTTTACAAGCTCATTGGCTCCACTTTAGAGACGTCTTTCAATAACGGCATCTTTTCAGAGAGAGCCTAGGCAGGACAGTGGCCAAATGAAAACTGGAGCATTGTTGAGCAGACCTGTGTTCTGCTTCTGATTAGGATATCAGCATGATTACATTTACTACAGCACTTATACTAATGTCCTTGGGTTGGTTTCACAAAGGAACAGTGACCTTTGCTTGCAAATGGAAGTCATTAGTGTGTCATTTATTGCTGGTATTGAAGGTTTGTGCCAGTGCACTTGTAATCTTTGTTGCACAGGGAATAGGGACAGGAAAAGAGGTTAAGGTGAAGTGTCATTTGCAACCCTTTTACTTTCATAATCTGATGTACACTGCCATTCAAAGGTTTGGAGTTGGTATGATTTTTTAAAAGTGTTTTTGAATTAAGTCCCTTATGTAAAAACAGTAATATTAGGAAATAGTATTCCAATTTAAAATAACAAAAGTTTTCTATTTTATCATATGTAATATATGTAAATTATTCCAGTGACACAAAGCTGAATTTTCAGCATTATCACTCCAGTCTTCAGTGTCACATGACTCTTCAGAAATCATTCTAATATGCTGATTTGCTGTTCAAGAAACATTTCTTATTATCATCATCAACTAACATTTCTTATTATATCAAGTAATTTGAAATACAAATGTTTGTAACACTACAAATGTCTTTACTGTCAGTTTTGATCAATTTAATGCATCCTTTCTGAATAAAAGTAATAATTTCAACAACAACAACAACAACAAAAAAACAATCTTAATCCAAACTTTCAAAGGGTAGTGTATTCCTGAGTGAAACAGAACATTCAAAGAAAAAGATTATTAAGAAAGCAAATAGGGTCTGTTTTGATTTCATGTTGACCCACACAGTATAAACCTACATATCAGAGGCAGAACTATATATAAACTGTTCAAAACAGCGCTCTTTCATTCTGTTTGTCTATCTCCAACACACACACACTTGCCTTGACAGCAGCAGACACAGCAGCAGTTGCAGCGATGGTCAGGCCCTGCTTGCCAAAGTTCACCATGGTCTCATAGCTTCGCTCTTTCGCCTGGACAATGTAGTCGTCGATTTCCTTCAGGAACATTAGGGCAAGATTGAGCACTTTCTGATCACCAAGCACATAATCAAACAATAAAATATGCAAATATATGTTACTACAAAAGAAGAACCAGATCAGTAGTTCTCAACTATTGGTCTGTTCTTATAGTGTCGCAGAACAGCAGAGGTTAAAAAAAAAAGAAGCTATATATTATTTTAAAGAGGAGGAGAACAAGCCCTCCATATGTTTTATTGTTGACAAAGCCTGTGCAATGAAAGCACAAATTCATCTTTCATTTTGAATATGGCGAATAATAATACAATATTTGGATAAATGCTTTGCAAAACCAGTGTATGAAGCGTAGATTCACCCTTTCTTTGGAGGACAGCAGAGGATGAAGAGCTTTTCTGTAGATGACACTAGCTCCTCTTGTGTAGGGAGACAGAAGCCAGATCACAAACGCAACCTTGATCTCGTAATAGAGGGGAAACCTTCAGATCAGAGGGGAGAAAGTAAGATATGATGACCCACGTTCCATCTGATTAATCATCTAACATAATTACACTCATTAAAGCTTTATTCCAACAAATTAATTTGTGCTACTCTAAATTAAAATGGCAACTTCGTTTCATTAAACCCTGATTGCTTCCCTGCATTCCTTTGTCTAGGGAAACAAAAACAAGCTCTTAAATGAACTGGCTTGCTTCTTTAGCCTGACATGAATCACTTGTAATCAGGTAAATGCGTCGCTGGAGTGAAGGAAGACTCCTGGCGTCAGACTCACCAGGCTATGGTTAGATCTGTGACGGTCTCCACTACTGTAAACAAGGCGAAAACAATCCAGTACATCATCCATCGCACCTGAAAAAGGAACAAAACAAATGTGATTTTCACTGAGGATTGCATAATACACACATTCATGTACTTAATTAGGAATAAACACAGCAGAAAGGAAAAAAAAAACTGTTAAATAAACACATTTTTTGATTTAAGTGCACTGATATAGAAAATGTGACCTATACAGTAATCAATTATTGAGTTTTTTTTTTTAATAACCTGTATTTGTTCATATTTAATTAATTAATTAATTTATTTTTTAAATATAGATATGAGCCATCACACACACACACACACACACAAAACAACAACTGGCCACTGTCGTAAAATAAACCCTGGTCAATTCTGGTCAATATTGACATGAAGTAATCACTGTCATGTACAGTACCCCATTACTTCCCAAATACATAAATGTGTATTATTGATTATGTGAAAAGAAAAAGCCTGTGGAGTGATATGAGAGACATGAAGCTAACACAGCTATGCTTAAATTGACTGTAAATGATAATGATCAAATCTACAGTTTATAATCATCATCCAATAAATCTGACAACAGAATTTTGAGACTGACAATCAAGTATACCGGAGAGCCTGTCATAATAGAGTACAACAGTCTGGTCCTGGAATTAAAAATCCCATTCGCTTTCTCCATGGGAAATTAAAGACTGGCCTACTACAAGGTTGTTTGTTAGTCAATGGTATGTGCTTTTTAAGAAGCCAACAGCCTGCATTATTTCAACTAACTTCCACATTTTTCTTCAACTTTTTCCCCCATTCGTGATGAAAAACTACATTACCCATGATTCAGCATAAAAATCTCTGTAGCACTCACCCAACTCCCATGAAGCACTGCAAATTACATAACCAAGTCTCCCTACACTCTCTATTTAAATTTGTGTGTTTATATATATAGCCAGATCACAAACGCAACCTTGATCTCGTAATAGAGGGGAAACCTTCAGATCAGAGGGGAGAAAGTAAGATATGATGACCCACGTTCCATCTGATTAATCATCTAACATAATTACACTCATTAAAGCTTTATTCCAACAAATTAATTTGTGCTACTCTAAATTAAAATGGCAACTTCGTTTCATTAAACCCTGATTGCTTCCCTGCATTCCTTTGTCTAGGGAAACAAAAACAAGCTCTTAAATGAACTGGCTTGCTTCTTTAGCCTGACATGAATCACTTGTAATCAGGTAAATGCGTCGCTGGAGTGAAGGAAGACTCCTGGCGTCAGACTCACCAGGCTATGGTTAGATCTGTGACGGTCTCCACTACTGTAAACAAGGCGAAAACAATCCAGTACATCATCCATCGCACCTGAAAAAGGAACAAAACAAATGTGATTTTCACTGAGGATTGCATAATACACACATTCATGTACTTAATTAGGAATAAACACAGCAGAAAGGAAAAAAAAAACTGTTAAATAAACACATTTTTTGATTTAAGTGCACTGATATAGAAAATGTGACCTATACAGTAATCAATTATTGAGTTTTTTTTTTTAATAACCTGTATTTGTTCATATTTAATTAATTAATTAATTTATTTTTTAAATATAGATATGAGCCATCACACACACACACACACACACAAAACAACAACTGGCCACTGTCGTAAAATAAACCCTGGTCAATTCTGGTCAATATTGACATGAAGTAATCACTGTCATGTACAGTACCCCATTACTTCCCAAATACATAAATGTGTATTATTGATTATGTGAAAAGAAAAAGCCTGTGGAGTGATATGAGAGACATGAAGCTAACACAGCTATGCTTAAATTGACTGTAAATGATAATGATCAAATCTACAGTTTATAATCATCATCCAATAAATCTGACAACAGAATTTTGAGACTGACAATCAAGTATACCGGAGAGCCTGTCATAATAGAGTACAACAGTCTGGTCCTGGAATTAAAAATCCCATTCGCTTTCTCCATGGGAAATTAAAGACTGGCCTACTACAAGGTTGTTTGTTAGTCAATGGTATGTGCTTTTTAAGAAGCCAACAGCCTGCATTATTTCAACTAACTTCCACATTTTTCTTCAACTTTTTCCCCCATTCGTGATGAAAAACTACATTACCCATGATTCAGCATAAAAATCTCTGTAGCACTCACCCAACTCCCATGAAGCACTGCAAATTACATAACCAAGTCTCCCTACACTCTCTATTTAAATTTGTGTGTTTATATATATATATATATATATATATATATATATACACACACACAAATTTAGCAATAAATGTAAACTATATTATATATTTAAAATCTTTAAATCAATTATTTCTCCAATATTCCTCCATTTTCAATATTCAATTAACAATTAAGTCATTCTCAGTCGCTTCTTGGAATTGTACTTCTTTCCCTCATTTAAGCCATTAAATACATAGTTTTGTACCTTTTTTTGCTTTAAATTAAAGTTTGTAATTTTGTGATTCACCTCTTAGCTGTTTGGTTTAATTCATGGCTTATAACTCTTTAACAAAGACTTAAAATCCCTATGGGCACTTCCGGAACCAAGGCCAATGAAAAAGTGGGCAGGAACTGTTGTACTCTATGATGGACTGATGATCTACTGGTAAGTTGAGGTGAAAGAATAAGCTGTCTCTGCCTCTAACAGCTGGACGGCAATTAAAACAAACAAAGAAAAACTCAAACTGGATGATCCCAATACACCGTACAGATATATTGTGCATTCCAAGTGCTATTCTTAATGCAGCACTGATCACCTATTGCCAATGCAAGTAGATGCGCCACACTAACTCTAACATAAAACACCTGGTACCACGCTAAAGAATATTTTAATAAAATCCATGCATTTTTTTCCTGTTCAGTAGAGACAACGTCTTTCTCTTTCTGCACAGAGTGGTGCGCACCTCTTTTCCTAGGGAGATGTAAACACAATCGAGTGTAACAAAAAATCATTATGGCCGTGACATTAATTTCCATCCCAGCTCTCTGTGTGTGTCTCTCTGCAGCAGGACCTGTTTGGTATGCTTTACCTCTCCTCTGCTCCCAACCACAGCGAGCTTTCAGCCAGCTTCTTAGCATTTCAATTTCAAACGCCCGTGCAGACAGTCATGTGATCCCAAACCTTGAGCTGCAGCTCTCGGAGGTATTAGGTGATATTTTCAGCCTCACTGAACAAAGTCAAAAGAATCCATGCAGAGGCAGCATTACCAGCTTGACAGGAGGCGTCAGATTTAATTGGTGTCCTCCCAATGAACCTTCAGCGGTCTGAGAGAGATCAATGTGTTGCATCAGCCACAGGAAAGCTGCCGCTCCGTGACAAACCATCAATCGAAATCCACCAGCGGTGATCTTTTTTCATAGCGTGGAGCGCTTTGGTTGCTGACTGCATCGATGCAAGAAATCTAATCAGATGTAGAAGCCTGCCTCCCATAATCCTCCAGACAATCCTATTTATTACAAGTCTGCAATTACCTGGCTTCAATTAGAGAAGCATGTGAGATGTAAGCAGAATTTCCACCGCTTTGTTCGATCTCGTTTAAAGAACTGGGTTGAAGGCGATTCGAGAATGGGCCGGCACCCAAGACAAGCATGACTTTCCTGTTCAGCGCTGCATGTGGATAAGCAGTTGTGTAGCCTCGATTTCCAAAGGAAAAATCCCTTTGAAGTATCCTGATTGTGAATGGACGTATTCCTTTCCTGCTCCGCATATGTACCATGCAGAGGTTTCTTTGTTCAACATTTAAACTGAGCAGTGAGATATATGAGCTGACCAATCTGTTTATCTAACAAACAGGAGTTGTAGACGTTGTACAGATTTGCTCAGAGTGGAAAAACCACAGTGTGGTTTCTAAGAGCATCTAGTCTATGCTAGTAAACACAGGCTTTGTCCACCGGCCCTATAAAAGGCCTGCAACACAAATCATCATTTGTCCAGTTCTATTTTGAAAATTATTTGAAAGAGGTTTCTCAATTAATCGTCTGAACTAAAAAGGCAAACGCAGAAACGGTTATGGCATGTTTTTAAAAAGCAGCTTTTGTGGTCGATTGAGCTTTCTTCTTTTTTCCAAGGGCTTGCTATTAAAAGTCTAAGTTTACCGAAACTGACTTTCCACTTGAAGATTGAGGAACATTCAACATTCCAGCAAAGCATATAAACATCCGTGATGTTGGGTAGTGGTTAAATGGATCGTAGTTGATCCGTGATCCGTACGGACCAAGCCCCACGGTTCGGCATGCATGTGATCCGCGGATTAATTGCAAAATGTAACCATAATAGAGTATAAGTTTATAATTTGTTCGTATTTACACAATTCCAGAGAGAAAAGGCAAAAGGATATCCTCTGAACAGACACATACACATACAATTATGACAAACAGTGAGATATATGAGCTGACCAATCTGTTTATCTAACAAACAGGAGTTGTAGACGTTGTACAGATTTGCTCAGAGTGGAAAAACCACAGTGTGGTTTCTAAGAGCATCTAGTCTATGCTAGTAAACACAGGCTTTGTCCACCGGCCCTATAAAAGGCCTGCAACACAAATCATCATTTGTCCAGTTCTATTTTGAAAATTATTTGAAAGAGGTTTCTCAATTAATCGTCTGAACTAAAAAGGCAAACGCAGAAACGGTTATGGCATGTTTTTAAAAAGCAGCTTTTGTGGTCGATTGAGCTTTCTTCTTTTTTCCAAGGGCTTGCTATTAAAAGTCTAAGTTTACCGAAACTGACTTTCCACTTGAAGATTGAGGAACATTCAACATTCCAGCAAAGCATATAAACATCCGTGATGTTGGGTAGTGGTTAAACGGATCGTAGTTGATCCGTGATCCGTACGGACCAAGCCCCACGGTTCGGCATGCATGTGATCCGCGGATTAATTGCAAAATGTAACCATAATAGAGTATAAGTTTATAATTTGTTCGTATTTACACAATTCCAGAGAGAAAAGGCAAAAGGATATCCTCTGAACAGACACATACACATACAATTATGACAAAATACCCATCTCGACAATCATTCAGGTAAACGCAGTCAGTTATGTCGTGGTGGTTTTCAGTACATTATAAAGATATAAAACAGATTTAAAGGGATAGTTCACCCAAAAATGAAAATGTGATGTTTATCTGCTTACCCCCAGGGCATGCAAGATGTAGTTGACTTTGTTTCTTCAGTAGAACACAAACGGAGATTTTTAACTCAAACGGTTGCAGTCTGTCAGTCCTATAATGTCAGTGGATGGGAATCACAGCTTTGAGAGTCATAAAACATACACAAACAAAACCAAATTAAACCCTGCGGCTCGTGACGACACATTGATGTCCTAAGACACGAAACGATCGGTTTGTGCGAGAAACCGAACAGTATTTATATCATTTTTTACCTC